CAAGCGTGGCACTTATGGCACTGGGCTGGCTCTGGTGGTGCGCTTGGGCGCGCTTGGGCGCACTTGGTCGCCAGTGACGCCGCGGTACTTTACGTCGCAGGCGTGGCACTTGGTGACATCCACCTTGATTTGCGTGCCACGCCTCTTGGGGCACTGGGCTGGCTCTGGCGGCGCGCTTGGGCGCGCTGGGTCACCCGGGGCGCCGCGCCACTTGGAGTGGCAGGCGTGGCACTTCGTGACATCCACCTTCGTTTTGCGTGGCAGGCGTGGCACTTCGTGACATTGACCTTCCATGTGCGTGGCAGGCGTGGCACTTGTGGCACTGGGCTGGCAGTGTGGCACTTCGTCACACACCATCTTTGACTTTGACACACCATCTTTCACACACCACTTTGTCACACACCATCTTTCATCACACCATCCTTCACACCCATCTTTGTCACACACCATCTTCCACACACCATCACAGACCATCTTTCACACACCACCTTTCACACACCACTTTGTCACCCACCATCTTTGACACACCATCTTTCACACCACTTTGTCACACACCATCTTTCACACACCACTTTGTCACACACCATCTTTCACACACCATCTTTGACACCATCTTTGACACATCATCTTTCACACAACACCACTTTGTCACACACCATCTTTCACACACCATCACAGACCATCTTTCACACACCATCTTTCACACGCCACTTTGTCACACACCATCTTTCACACACAACTTTGTCACACACCATCTTTCGCTACACCATCTTTCACACACCACTTTGTCACACACCATCTTTCACACACAGCTTTGTCACACGCTCTCTTTCACACACAACTTTCACACACACCATCTTTCACACACAAGTTTGTCACACACACACCATCTTTCTTTGTCACACACCATCTTTCACATACAACTTTGTCACACACAACTTGATTTTACTTCTCGATCCTCCACCACCTCCTTTGTCTTTCCTTCCTTCCCCGTCCCGCTACAACATTTGTTGCTCATTATTGGAAGAAGTTGGCTTGTGGGCTTATCCGGTCCTTTAATTTGTGTGTTTGTGTGTTCGTTTCTTTGTTCGTTGTTGTTTTGGTGGCACCATACTGGGCTCATGTTGAACCATGTTGAACCATTTTGGGTTATTTTCAGGTATTTGTTGGCCTTTTTTTGAACTTGGGCATTTCAGTGTTGTTGAGTTTTGGTCTTGTTGTCTTTTATTTTGGACTTGGGCATTTGAGTGTTGTTGAGTTTTGGTCTGTTCAAGTCGTTTTCAAAAAAAACATCGTAAATACCAAGCAAAACGCAATTTTTGGGTTGCGTTGCTGATGTTTTTGATGCTGGCTTTATCTCAAGCTCATGTTGAGAAAAAATCGAGCCATGTTGGGTTGTTGTTGCGTCCTTTTCAGCCCATGTTGTGCCAATGTGGAGCCACCTTGGTCTATGTTGGGACCGTGTTGGGTCATGTTGTTAGCTCTATTGGGCCGATGTTGTGTTGAGCCTATGTGGACGCATGTTGCATTAATATGGAGCCATGTTGGCCCACGTTGGGCAGATGTTGACTCATGTGGGGAATCGTTGGGACCATATTTGATATTGGGCTTATCTTGAGCCATTTTGGGCTAATATTGGGCTCATGTTGAGGCACTTTGGGCTATGTGTTGGCCTTTATCTGGTTTCGGTGTCGTTGAGTTTTGGGTCCATGCAAGGCGTATGTAAAAAATACAGTAAACACAACAAAGAAAAACAACATGTTTTGGCTGTGTTGCTGATGTTTTTGATGCTATGTTAAACAATGTTTGCGACGCAGTTTGCGAGGTATTTTTCTGGTGTTGCGGTGGCATTTGAATGGTACTTTTGGTGGTGTATGGGTGGTCTCTTGCTGATGTGTGTCATGGTGGTGGTGGCATGGCATGTTGTGAGCTCTCATAATATGGGTTGATATTTCAATGATGTGTTGCATCTGCGCGCACAACACACAATACACATCAATACACAATATCAAACAATCCTGCACACTTGTGGCCCATGACATCTCCAGCGCCACAGCTTTTCCTCCTGTCCTGGCCGGCATGACCTAGACAAGGAAAAGGCGGCTTCCGTCGCGTGTGATGAAGTAAACAAGTGCAAAAATCTCATCCAAAAAAACGGGAGTCACAGTCAAAACGATTGTGCATTTTCCAGGGAAAGCGTGATTTTTCCTGCGCGTTTTCTATTTGACTGAATGGTTGAAGATTTTATTCGAATGCTTCCGCATCTTCTGGCAGCCGGCAGGCCAAAGTGCAAGTTACGTCTATATAGAGGGATGTAATTATAGGGCATGCTCGGCATGCTCCATCTCTTCTTTGAGTTTTTCTGCCTTGGCAGCTCATGTTGAGGCATTTTGGGCTATGCGTTGGCCTTTATCTTGGACTTGGGCATTTCAGTGTCGTTGAGTTTTGGTCCATGCAAGGCGTTTCTGATGCTCTCTTGGGGCATGCTGCACTTAGGCCACGCTGGCCTTACCTGAGGCTCACGCTGAGCAATATTCACGCCATGTTGGGTTGTTGCTGCGTCCCCTTGAGCCCACGCGGTGCCGATGTAGAGCCGACATGTCTGTGCACTGCCTTTGTGGTCTGTCACGTTTGTCATGCTGTTGTGCTGTGTGGGTTTCTTGTTGTGTCTTGGTTGAGGGCGGTGGTGTGTCAGTGTATGATTTGAGGATGTCTTGGTGGAGTGCCGTTGATGTGTTGGTGCAAACCCTGCAGTGTATCAGTCTCTATTGCGCAGGTGCGTTTTGGCGGCGTTTGGGCATGCGTGTGTAATGTTGTGCTTGCGAGCTATTTTTCTGATGTTGCGGTGGCATTTGAATGGTACTTTTGGTGGTGTATGGGTGGTCTCTTGCTGGTGGGTGTCTTGGCGGTGGTGGTGGCATGGCATGTTGTGAGCTCTCATAATATGGGTCGATATTTCAATGGTGTGTTGCATCTGCGCGCACAACACACAATACACATCAATACACAATATCAAACAATCCTGCACACTTGTGGCCCATGACATCTCCAGCGCCACAGCTTTTCCTGTCCTGGCCGGCATGACCTAGACAAGGAAAAGGCGGCTTGCGTCGTGCGTGATAAAGTAAACAAGTGCAAATCTCACCCAAAAAAAACTTTAAATTACTTTACTTCGAGTTATCCCCGCCATGACATCTATACGTTTTGTTACTGGCAAATCTTCTGGCATTCTATTTGACATATCTTCTGGCATTTTATCTGGCATATCTTCTGGCATTCTATCTGGCATATCTCTGTCATTTTACCTGGCATATCTTCTGCAATATGTTCTGGCATATCTTATGGCACTCTATCTGGCATATCTTCTGACATTCTATCTGGCATTCTACCTGGCAAATCTTCTGGCATATGTTCTGGCAAACATTCTGGCACTTTATCTGGCATACCTTCTGGCATTCTATCTGACGTTCTATCTGGCATACCTTCTGGCATTCTATCTGGCATATCTTCTGGTATTTTATCTGGCATATCTTCTGGCATTCTATCTGGCATATCTTCTGGCATTCTACCTGGCGTATCTTCTGGCATACCTTCTGGCACTCTATCTGGCATATCTTCTGGCATATCTTCTGACATTCTATCTGGCATTGTATCTGGCAAATCTTCTGGCGTTCTATCTGGCAAACATTCTGGCACTTTATCTGGCATATCTTCTTGCATTCTATCTGACATTCTATCTGGCATACCTTCTGGCATTCTATCTGGCATATCTTCTGGCATTCTATCTGGCAAACATTCTGGCACTTTATTTGGCATATCTTTTGGCATTCTTTCTGACATTCTATCTGGCGTTCTATCTGGCATATCTTCTGGCATTCTATCTGGCCGTTGAGGTCCAGCGGTGCTCGCTGAGCTCGGAGGGTCCCAGGTTGAGGTCCAGCGGTGCGCACTGAGCTCGGAAGGCCCCAGATTGATGTCCAGCTTGAGGTCCAGCGGTGCGCACTGAGCTCGGCAGGTCCCAGGTTGAGGTCCAGCGGTGCGCACTGAGCTAGGAAGGTCCCAGGTTGAGGTCCAGCGGTGCGCACTGAGCTGGGAAGGTCCCAGGTTGAGGTCCAGCAGTGCGCACTGAGCTCCGAAGTTGGCGAGGAGCTTGGCCAAGAGTTGGCAAGGCAACAGTGGACGTGGAAGTGGAGGCAGAGGTGGTAGAAGAGGAGGAGGTCGCGGAGGAGGAGAAGGAGGAGGAAGGAGGAGGAGGAAGGAGGAGAAGAACAATTCTGATAAAATCTAACAACCCTCACCTGGCAGGTGGGGAAAAAAGCCAAAACGATTGTGCATTTTCCAGCGAAAGCGTGATTTTTCCTGCGCGTTTTCTATTTGACTGAATGGTTGAAGATTTTATGCGAATGCTTCCGCATCTTCTGGCAGCCGGCAGGCCAAAGTGCAAGTTACGTCTATATAGAGGGATGTAATTATAGGGCATGCTCGGCATGCTCCATCTCTTCTTTAAGTGTTGTGGCACTGCTTCACTGGCTTAACGCTGATATTTGGGTAATGTATGGTCATGTTTTGCTGGTGTCTTTCGGACCTGGATCCCTTCTCTAGTTTGAGAAACTCACTGAAAAGTTTTGTATAAGATTCATGATGTTGGTATCGGGATTTGTCTGACCGTATATTTGAATATTTTTTGCACCTACATGTATTATTATCAGCTGAACCGTGGTAGTCTGCTTTGATATATTTGAATGCTTTCCGTCGTTTGCCGTGCTGGTTTGCAGCGACGCAATCTCCATTTTTGATGTTTCTGGCCAGTTTGCCAGCACCCCCCAAAAAGATAGAACATGTTCTTAAATGCTCCTAATTGTCGTTAATATTTTAATTTTCCCCATTACATCGTCTCAGTAAATATCACCACAAAACGAGGTAATTATTCCAGTTAGTCTCTGGGGGCGTTAATTGTTATTAGTGGTTTTTGCCAATTCTGATACCTCCACTGGCTGCAGGCTTCCCAGGCGATCAATCGTCGCAGCTTCTCCAACGATGCCTTGGGCAATGCTTTGGCAGCGGCGCGGCAGCGCCGGCAGCGTGCGGCCTTGCCGCCACCAGAGGCGGCCCGGGAGCGGGATACATTTTTTATGTGTGCGCAGCAATGCAGGTATGTATTTTGCCTTTGCCAAGCCCTCCCCAAAAAAAGCAAACGCGTACATACATGCATTGATATGTTGGAAGATGCTCGTATTATGTAAACATGTAGTTGCCACAAGGATTTGTTTTTTACATGTGTTGGTGAGTAATTATGCATCTCCATAGTCCAGATTTGTCCAATTACGAAACAATTGTTTTCAAATCCACATAACAAATCTGAAATCAAGCAATGCAGATGTTGCAAACCAAAACATTATAATCATTGAATCCCCCTTCGTTTCAGGCCTACAAAACATCCAAATACTAAAAGAATGTTTTAAAAATGTCCCATATTACTGTATATTTGCCCCTGACATTGGCCTTGCACCGCTGCTGCAGGTTCCACCCGAAGAGCCACAGAGCGAGCCTGCGCCGAAGCCGCGCCGTCGCAGCTTTGCGGAGCAGTTTGGCTATGGCGCCATGGGCTGCATGTAGGGATCATACGGCCATGTTGGGTAAAAATTGATTTAAACACCAAAATCCGATTGAAAATGCGACATAACAGGAACGTCATAGGACATACCCAACGATATGATATCTTGGTTCTGTCTGAGAATGGGGTTTAACGTTTAACAATGGAGAGTTAGATATGAATTGCAAAATGTAATATTGATGATATATTGGGTAATGTTTTGTTATTGTTCGACTTTTCAAAACCAATAATGTCCAATTGTGTTTATCAAAGCTGGAGGGAATACCCGAATTTATTGCTGCTTGAATTGGAGAAACGATGGCCGTCCATTGGATCTTGGCGCCCATATTTTCATACAAACCATGACAATTAAGTCACAGGTTTTTGTGAGAAATTTGGAAAGTCAAATGAGGATACAATTGGGCGAGATTTATGTAATTCGATTACGGGGAAGACAGGGAGATCTAAATGGTCAAACGGTCAAACGGCAACAAACGGACTATAGAATATAGCCTTGATATTGCAACAATAAAAATTGGGATAAAAAACACTTGCCAAGAAGTTACATGTAGATTTGGATATGCATAGGATACAACTGCCATAGCAGATGGGAAGACTCATCGGTGGCTGCATGAGATGACGGACCAAGTGACCCAAATATTTCACAGATAGAGAAGTTAGATGCAGAAGCAAGGCGCATTCATGTGTCAATTGTTTGTCTCAGGATAGCTCTGAGACCCTCTTGCGTAACGTAGTCTGCACATTTATGCTCATGGAAGGCTGTATGGCTTTTGGCAGGCATTGCGCACACCATCTCAAGTAACCCAACATAGTCCCAACCAAGTGTCCATCAGCAGTATGTGAATGGTTTGGTGCCCAAAATTTGTTGGAAGGATGATTTTCATGTAAGAAAATCTGTTTATATTCAATCACAATCCACCAAACAACCATCAATTTGTTGCATTTGATCTTGGGAAACCAACGTATTGGACCCCAACGCTTCACCACAAGACATGGCCATCATGGCCCCAGGTGTGATCCTCAAGACGCAGCTGCCACCGCAGCCCCGCGCACAAGACGCGCCCAAGCCACGGATCAGCAGCGGTTTCATTGGAAACATGGCATGACACGCGGGTAGTTTAAAGTGACCCCCAGGAGTCTCACCTCAAAGACTACTAATATGGGGGAAAGCAGGGGAAATCCATCAAAAGTTCCGTGAAGTTACTACGGGTTTGGGCCGGTTTGGGATATTTGATTTTTTGCTAGGTCGCGCACGAGTATAGGATTTTCAAAGACCGTGCTGTGCTTTGAACCTGGGAATCCATCACGCAAACTAAAACAAATTCCTGGTTAGGTTTAAGTTCAATTTCGCATGTTCTTGCGGCAATGTGGAAAATGAGAGGAAAATTAATTCAATCTTTTGTCAATTAGACACCCTTCCCCTTCTATGCAGAAAGCCGGTTGCCATCGTAGCTGCTGAGATGGTTTGGCCTTCATGACCGCATGTTTTTCAAACCTGCTGTACTACAGTAATCTCGTTCTTTGTTTCCCTCTAAGTTAGCAAAGAAAAATAGAAAAATAGTTCAGGTGTTCAGATTACCATCCAAGGTCTCATCCCTAACCATTTTCCCCCGTTGGGTTGGGGCACCCCCAATTGCAACCAAGGATTGCAAGCTGGAGACACGGATCTGTTGC